AGATACCTTACCCTCTTCCATACATTTATTAAATAAAAGCACTAACCACTCCAAAACTCTATCCCCACCTGCTTCTACAAGCACAGTATAGCACTTCGGATTTTTTAGGTTATCCTTGGTAATTTACACTATATATAATTGTACAGTGGACCCCCGGTTAACGATATTTTTTCACTCCAGAAGTATGTTCAGGTGCCAGTACTGACCGAATTTCTTCCCATAAGGAATATTGTGAAGTAGATTAGTCCATTTCAGACCCCCAAACATACACGTACAAACGCACTTACATAAATACACTTACATAATTGGTCGCATTCGGAGGTGATCGTTATGCGGGGGTCCACTGTATTTGTGTGTACCTGTGAGACAGATAGATAGAGACAGATAGACAGAGACAGACAGAGACAGATAGAGACAGGCAGAGACAGAGACAGGCAGAGACAGATAGAGACAGGCAGAGACAGATAGACAGAGAGAGACAGACAGACCCTAAACTTGGGGTTAACACCACTTTCCTCTTAAAAGGGGAGTGTTAATATGACATTACATCAGTGAATTCTTGGTGTTTGCCCCACTGTTTGCTCTAGCTGGTGCTCAGTATAACTGGTGCTCCCATAAGGTACTAAGTGGTCCCAGATTTTTTTAATATGGTGAACACTGAGTGTTAAGACCCATTCTATGCTGACTAGGCATCTTGGGCCAATCGTGCCAAATTTGGAGGCAGGAAAAATAAAACTTATATTTATATTTGGGACGCTAGCGGTAAGAACGTATATATACATTTGGACTGTTTACGGGTTAATAACTCTCCTATTTTTGACTAACAAATCCATTTGTTCCCTAGGTTTTCTTGACTTATTAATTGCACTCCAAAACTTTCTTATTTTCAACAAAATTTATTGATAACAAAACTGTTCCTTCAGCATTATTGCTACTCCTTCCTTAGCTCTAACTCTCTCAGATTCACCTGACTTAACCCTTTGACTGTTTTGGTCGTATATATATGTCTTACGAGCCGCCATTTTTGACGTACAGTGGTCCCTCAATAATCGTCCATAATCCGTTCCTGGAAGTGGGACTATTATCGAAATGGACGATTTTCGAATCAATTTTCCCCATAAGAAATAATGTAAATCCAATTAATTCATTCCAGACACCCAGAAGTATCAAGAAAAATTTTTTTTTTTACCTGAAAGATAGATTTACATGCACAAAAGAATGAACATTCAACATGACAGTTACCTTTATTGAAGGCTGTTGTTGATGAATGGAAGACAGGGAGGAGGAGAGAGGGAAGAGAGGTTATTTGGAAGGAGAATCCCCTTCATAAGGACTCTAGGGCACTAATAAAATGTATAAATGAACATTGGTAATAGGGGTAGTTGATGAGTGGAACGGTCTGCCTAGTAGGGTGATCGAAGCTAAAACACTGGGTAGTTTCAAATTTAGGTTGGATAAATACATGAGTGAGAGGGGTTGGATTTGAGTTGGACTGGCACCTGAGTTTATTGCTTGGGTAGCATTTGTTCTGTTAGTGGCTTGGATTTGTGAAGGACCGGCCTAGTATGGGCCAGCAGGCCTGTTGCAGTGTTCCTACTTTCTTAAGTTCTTATTTAACATCACACTTACCAGTAGGGTGATCGAGGCTAGGACTTTGGGTAGCTTTAAGAGAGATTGGACAAATATACGAGTTGGAGGAGCTGAGTTTGATTTGTGTCATTGGGTACGGGAGTAAATTCTTGGGTAGCTTTGGGTGGAGGTCATTTTGATAAGGACCTGCCTTGTATGGGCCAGTAGACCTGCAGTGTTCTTCCATTGTTATGTTCTTATTGGCTATTTGTTTGTGTGCGGGAGGGATGGCAAGTTTATTGTTGGAGAATATGATACTAATATCAATTCTACGGCTTATTTATCTATCACAATTCAACTAATATGACATAATAAACAATATTAATAACATAGAAACATGGAATATACTCTAGAATGAATAAAGTAAGTCATTACGTATGTCACGAGAGGTGTTGTATTGTGTTGTTGTGTTATAGTTGTGACAGAACCCACAGGCATAACACCAGACACAAACATCTCTACGACATTCCCCGTGTCCGACTAAACCTTTACAAAAATTCAATGTATGTCAAAGGCCCTAAAATCTGGAATACCCTACCTGAGAACTCTAGAACTGCAGACACATTCATCACCTTCAAAACTACCATTAGAAAACATCTTATCTCCCTGATACACCCCGTCAACTAACTACACGAATACCACCTGGTGGTTCACACTTACACTCGCTCACTCATTTGACCATAAACAGAAATATTAATCTCAGTCTTAAAATAATGAATCCTGTGATACTCCAATACTGAAACTATATACTGTGCCAAAACAAAAGCATTCACATTGCTAAACTCATAAACTAGTATTTAGTCACTTAGCCATAAGACCAACTTACCTCATAATTTGTAATATTTTACAATTAAGAATAAAACTAAGTATGCCCGAAATGCCTAGCCATGCTAAGCGTTCTAGTGGTACACTCTGTAATCACAATTTTACTACATGTAAACCAAACAATAACCAAATTTCTGTTAACTCAGCATTGTAATCCTTATAGAGAATAAACTTTGAATTGAATTGAATTGAATTGAATATAAGGGCCACTGAGTGTAAGCTGTCCATAATGGTGGTGAAGCAGCAGCTAAGGCAGTGGTGGTTTTTGTAGCCCTATATAACTCCAACAACATTGGAGGAGTTGGTAGAATCACTGAATCACTAAAGAAGGAACCCACTATGACCTTCTACCACTATTACAACTGTTACCACCATCACTGCTACCTTCTACCACCATCACTGCTACCTTCTACCACCATCACTACTACCTTCTACCACCATCACTACTACCTTCTACTACCATCACTACTACCTTCTACCACCATCACTACTACCTTCTACCACCATCACTACCACCAAATAAAGCTTCTAGTGCCAGCCCTTTGGTAAAGAATGTGAGAAACACATAATTTATGAAAAAGTTTGTAGAAAAATACAAAGATGGTGGTGGTAGAGTGGAAGCAGTTGTGATAGTGGTTGATGAACATAAGAAAGGAGGATCACTGCAGCAGGCCTGTTGGCCCATGCTCGGCAGGTCCTTTACAATTCATCCCACTAACGAAACATTTTCCCAACCCAGTCCTCAATGCTACCCAAGAAATAAGCTCTGATAACTCTATCCACTCATTTGCAAGTCCCAAATATTCTCTATCATTTCATAAGAAAAAAAATAATTTTTTTTTTGGGGGGGGGAAATTTGCGACACCAGGAGACACCTCAGGATTTGGGGTTGCGACAGTCAAGGGATTAATCCCATTTATTTTTTCCCACTGAAACTCTCCTCCCCTCTTCAGCTTTGTTTCGCTTAGGGCCAGGACATCCAACTTCTTTTCATTCATAACATTAGCAATCATTTTTTCTTATCTGCACTACATCCACGCACATTCAAACATCCCAATAGTTTTATACAGGAGAAGGTGTTACTAGCCCATTGTTCCGGCATTCAGTCACCCCCAACGACACGCATAGCTTATGGAGGAAGAATTCTATTCCACTTCCCCATGGAGACAAACAGAAATAAACAAGAACAAGAACTAGGAAGAAAATTTAAGAGAACCCATAGGGGTTAGTATATATATGCTTGTACATGCATGTGTAGTGTGACATAAATGTAAGTAGAAGTAGCAAGACGTACCTGCAACCTTGCATGTTTATGAATCAGAAAAAAAGACACCAGATATAAAAAGCAAAAGTAAAACATGATAATACTTTAAGGCTTCAAGTTTACAAGAAGCAGAGAAACAAAAATAATCTTATACACTTGTATTCTAGTCAAGATACTAAGACCAGAACAAGCATCATCATTGGAGTTTTCCTAAGAGTATACATGTACCAGATTTGTAGTCCTGAGTTAGTTGATGAGGAGTGTACACTGTACATACACCAACCCTTCATTGAATTAAGACCTTGTGTAGTTTTAAAAATGGGTTGGATAAATAAATACATGAGTGGGTGTGGGTGGGTGTGAGTTGGACCTGACTAGCTTGTGCTACCAGGTCTTGTGCCGTGCTCCTTAAGTGGAAGTGACCTGACTAGGTGGTCATTGTTCTAAGCCGGGGGATGGCATGGACCGGCTTCGCATGGGTCAGTAGGCCTGTTGCAGTGTTCCTTCTTTCTTATATTCTTATGTTCTTACATTTTCCTTTTCCATCAAAGACTGCAAGAAAAGAGCCCATCAGATCATCAGTTCTCCATGCACTAACACCACTCCTAACAAAGTTATAATCGTGTCCTACCACCAGGTTGCACTGAACACCTCTTGAAGTACTGATACAAGTTGACACTAGAGTTGTCAGTGCAACCAGTACTTCCATAAAAGATCTGACCAGGACAAAATTGAAGCACTTTGAACCAGTCAGTGCAGGGGTTTACACTGTCCTCTGTGGAGGCTGACAGAATAGACATAAGTGAAACAGCAAGAAACCTTGAAACATGTCTCAGTGAATGCATTAATGTAAGCTCAATAACTTGAAGAGTGCTTGCATACAACACCAGAATTTTACCAACCACCTGATGAAATTCAACAATACCTAACGTAAATGCCTTGAATCATCATTAATTGCTGTTTCTAACACAAACAGAATAAAGGCAGCTTTATCATCTCTGAAGTATTAGCAAGAATTCTCCTCAAAACAATAAACCCCATCATCACATTGCTGCTTCTTCTGCCTACATTGATTATATTGTGCCTTACACCTCACTCTAATAACTATATGTACCCTCTGTGTTCCTGTATTGTTTGTAATGACTTGAGAAAGCTCCTGGAGAGTGAAGTGTTGCCACAGTAAAGTATCACATTAATTGCACATGTGTCCTCTTACCTAACATATTGTCGGTAGTTCTGCAAACATAATAACAATTTGTTAAATATTGTACAAACACTGCAGGTGTATGTGAGAGTGCAGTCATGTATGGAGGTTCCCGGGAGTTGAACCTGGGAGGTGTCATTGTGGACAACCCAACAGTGTCGTTGAAGTCGCTCACTTCAGTCATTACCAGCGTCATTCAGCTGCAACAAGAACATCGCAACCATCAACAACGACTACTACGAACACTAACATATGGATCAAAGTAAGAAATTAAACTATGAATAACTTGTTTAACATACAATGCATGTATAACTCGCATACAAGTATAACACAATACCATTCCTAGGAAACTAATGGATTTGAGAGTTAAAAACAGAAGACAAGAGTTATTAGATGGAGATTTGGAGGTATCAGCACGATGAAGGGGAATCTATGTTGATGAAGATAGGAACTGGTTCATAAAGTTCGTTGGAGGAGAAGGAAGCATGTGATTTCATGGTAATTGAGCATGGGAGGTAAATGATGTAGGAGGTGAATGAGGCTGGATTGAGGGATGGATGTTACGTGGGGGAGGGAATAGGATTGGAGGTGATGATGCTTGTGATGTGAATGAGGCTGGTCTTGATGCATAGGACAAAATGACAGTGTAGGGACATATATGGAAGTGTTGAGCTTTTATAAATGTATGTAAGAGAATGTATAGTTTTTGAAAAAGAAGGGGACAAGAGAGAGTGTAGGAATTATGGAACAGTGAGCTTTGGAAGGGTTTGGGGTGTGTAGACGTGTTTTATGAAGCATATAGGTGAGGAGCATATTGCAGATAAAGGGTTAAAGGATATTTGGTGTTGTAATGTTGGCAGTTAGAAGCATATATGACAATTGTAGTAAGGGTAAAGACATCTTGTATTGTATGGATTAGAATATGGTTATGACAGGGTTTAGTATAATGATTGAGTGTGGCTCAAGTTAGAGTTGTAGGAGAGAGGATGATTATTTCCCAGTAAAAGCAGGCCGTAGATAGGGATGTGTGATGTCTCCGTGGTTGTTTAACATATTTATAGATGGGGTTGTAAGAGAAGTGAATGTTCGGGTGTTGGCAAGAGGTGTAGGAATATGAGAAAGAATCTAACACAAAACATTGCTCAGAGGAGAGGAAAGCTTATGACCAAGTTTGGGTCCTACTTGGGCCATTTACAAGTCACTTGTAAGTGGTCCAAGTGGCACCTAAACTTCATCATAAGCTTCTCTCTCCTATGTGCAGATCATTTGTTTTGTTAAAAATCATGGTATTGTGCCTTTTTGTTCTTTAATCTAACACAAAGTGGGATTTGTCACAGTTGCTTGTTGCTGATGACACTGTGCTTTTGGGAGATTCCAAGGAGAAGTTGCAGAGGTTGGTGGATGAGTTTGGAAGGGTATGTAAAAGAAGGAAATTAAACGTGAACATAGGAAAGAGCAAAGTGATAAGGGTAATAAAAAAATTTAGGCAATTAAAGACTAGATATCAGATTGGAGGGAGAGAGTGTATGTATTCAGATATGCGGGAGTGGACATGTCAGCAGATGGGTCTATGAAAGATAAGGTGAATCATAGAATTGATGAGTAGAATAAGGTGAGTGGTGCACCGAGGAGTCTGTAGAGACAACAAATATTATCCATGGAAGCAAAGAGGGAAATGTATGAGAGTATAGTTATATTAATGCTTTTATATGGGTGTGAAACATGGTTGGTGAATGTTGCAACAAGGAGAAGGCTGGAGGCAATGGAGATGTTGTGTCTGAGGGCAATGTGTGATGTGAATACTGTGCAGAGAATCTATCACTTGGAAATTGGAAGGTGTGTGGTTTCTAAAAATAACATCTAGAAGGATGAAGAAAGGCTGTTGAGGTGGTTCAGACATTTAGAGAGGATGGAGCAATATAGGATGAATTAGAGGGTGTATAAAACTGCCATGGAGGGAAGGTGGGGTAGGGGTCATCTTAGATAAAGTTGGAGGGAGAGGGTAAAGGAAATTTTGTGCGAGGGGCTTAGATAGGAATGATTCAAGGAAATTGTTTACCAGACTTAACCCTTAAACCGTCAAAACATAGATCTTCATTTGTACTGCTAGCGCTCCAAACGTAGATCTATGTTTTATTTTTCCTGCCTCCAAATTTGGCATGATTGGCCTGAGATGCCTGGACAGTATAGAATGGGTCTTAACACTCGGTGTGTGCAGTATTAAAAAAATCTGGGACTACTTAGTACCTTGTGGGAGCACCAGTTCAATTGAGTGCCAGCTAGAGCAAATAGTGTGGCAAATACCAGGGATTCACTGATGTCATGTCATATTAACCCTTTCAGGGTCCGTCCCGTAGATCTACGGCTTTACGTTCAGGGTTCAAACTGTAGATCTATGCCAAAATTCTAGCGGCATCAAATTTAGCGCGAGAAAGCTGGTAGGTCTACATCTGAGAGAATGGGTCTGGGTGGTCATTGTGCACACCATAGAAAAATCTAGATGCCCGCTTGGCATTGTGGGAATGCCGGCAAAGTAGCTTTGTTTATCGTGCTTGGCGGCAAGGAAGCTTTCACTCCCCACTCACTCTTTGGGCGAATTCTGACTCTCCTCTTCACAACTTACAGTTCTAAGACTGATGGAAGTGGAGCTGAAGACGAATTCTATGGTTTTGAACCATATGGTACCATTGTACCATATGGTATCAAAAGTCTGTCTGACTTTTTTGGGTTATCCTAGGTTCTCCAAACATATGCTGCTAAGTATGATATTCTATGTAACTTTATTTGTGTATACCTAAATAAACTTACTTATGATGCCACATGCACTTGAGTAAGTTTATTCAGGTGTACAGAAATACAATTACATAGATTATCAAACATAGCACCATACGTATAAAGTCCTAGGATAACCCAAAAAAGCCAGGGTGACTTATTTCCATAGTTATCCCTGTATCTGTACCATATGGTGTCCTGTACTGTATGGTGTCCTGTACTGTATGGTACCCTGTACCATATGGTACCCTGTACCATATGGTACCCTGTACCATAGGTACCCTGTGCCATATGGTACCCTGTACCATATGGTACCCTGTACCATATGGTACCCTGTACCATATGTTATCCTGTACTGCATGGTACCCTATACCATATAGTACAATGTACCATATGGTACCCTGTAACATATACCGTGTACCATATGGTCAATAGGCGTTGGTGGCATGAGACACCAGCCAAGACTGAGTGAGTGGTGACACAAGCTAGCTACTGACTTCGCAGTTTCCGAGACAAAGCTCCACCTCAAGGAACATGTCGATTTCCTGTACACTTGTAAATATATAATAGAACATTACTAATATACAACATTTTTGCATATTTTTGTTGTAAACAACTATTGTAAACAAAATAATAATGAAAATATTAGTGTGTTTATTGTGTTGAATACAACAGTACCATATAGTACCATATGGTACAATGAACCATATGGTACCATTGCACCATATGGTACCATTTGGTACCATTGCACCACATGGTACCATTTGGTACCATTGCACCATATGGTACCATTTGGTACCATTGCACCATATGGTACCATTTGGTACCATTGCACCATATGGTACCATAAGGTACCATTGCCATTGTATCATATGGTACCATTGTACCAAGTGGTACCATTGTACCATATGGTACCATTGTATCATATGGTACCATTGTATCATATGGTACCATTGTATCATGTGCCATTGTACCATATGGTACCATTGTATCATATAGTGCCATTGTACCATATGGTACCATTGCAGCCTATGGCACCATTGTACCATATGGTACCATTGTATCATGGTGCCATTGTACCATATGGTACCATTGCAGCCTATGGCAACATTGTACCATATGGTACCATTGTATCATATGGTGCCATTGTACCATATGGTACCATTGCAGCCTATGGCACCATTGTATCATATGGTACCATTGTATCATATGGTGCCATTGTACCATATGGTACCATTGCAGCCTATGGCACCATTGTACCATATGGTACTATATGGTACCGTTGTATTCAACACAATAACCGCACTAATATTTTCATCATTTTGTTTACAATAAACTTGTAAACAAGTTTTGTAAGCAATATAATGATAAATTAGTGCAGTTATTGTGTAGAATACAATGAGTGTACACTTATACAATATACATTATACAGGCCACAAATGTTATTAGAAAAAGAAAAAAATTAGAAAAGAAAAGAAAAAAGTATAAAAAACATTAAATAAAAAAAATGGGATTTTGGGGAAGTCACTGATGTTGCCGCCACCCGGTCATTTTGGGTCAACTTCCCGCCGCTGTATCTTGGTAAGTACTGATCAGAATTTTTTTTTTTTATTACCTTCACAAAAATATTATCTTTAATTCTGTATGAAAAAATATTTTTTTTTTTTTTTTTTAAATTTCTTGGACACTGGAGCACCACTTCAGATTTTGGCCTTGGACCCTGAAAGGCTCAACATTCCCATTTTAAGAGGAAAGTGATGGATTGGCCACAAGTGGTCAAGGAAATATTAAAAACCTCAATAATAACCCGTGTGTAACATTTGTGCAACATGCTTTCATTTTTATTCCACTGGCTGTCTCTGTCTGTCTACATAGTGGAACCTCGTCTTACGAGTTTAATCCGCTCTGTGACCATGCTCACATCCAGTTTGCTCGTTTGTTGAGTCAGTTTTCCTCATTTAAATTAATTGAAATGGAATTAATCCGTTCCAGCGGAATTCCAGGCACGACAGAATACTTCAATATTTCACTAATATCAACTCTACGGCTTATTTATCACAAATCATCTAATATGACATAATAAACAATATGTATTAACATGGAAACATGATATATACACTAGAATGAAATATGTCATTACGTATGTGGCTAGTGGTAGTGTGTGGCGGTGGCACACTGACATTGTTGTTGTTGGGGTGTATAGGGGCACTACAGCGGCCATTCCTGCTTCTGACTACATACCTTCCCATGCTCTTATTATAATAGAAAATGAAGTGTTTGTAAGGCAAACTGCATTAGATCACTAAGCAGTTTTATAAGGAAAACAACAATACAATGGACCCCCGGTTTGCAAAGGCATCGGTATCCGATAAATCCAGTATTCGATACATTTTAACGCAAAAATTTTGCCTCGGTTCTCGTTAAAAAACCCGCCACACGCGATTCGTCCGAGACGTGTCCACGTGTGGCCCAGTGTTTACAAGCCAGCCA